GAAACGTTTGTCGTGTCGTCGCAACTATACAATACCATTAATTATGAACGTGGCGAGCTTTGAATTGTTAGGAAATTTACCAGTCAAAAGCCCGTGAAAGGCGAAACCGTTTAAAACGTGAAAGAGAACTTTATATACGTATATATACACAAGACATACTCTTCAACGAAATCACTTCATTGAGGGGATTTACTCGTTACTTTGGGATTAATTCGGAGTTTATCCGATTTTATGGAAAGTCAATTCCATCATACAATCCGGCCATTAATAATTTAGCATACTGTTTGCATGGCCGTTTAATGGAAAACTGGTGACGTCATTCGACGTATTTCGTTTGTTGTCGGTGGTGAAATCAGTGTATCTAGATGGGCCAAACTAAATTCAGAAACTTGTTATAAAGCAATTTTGAAACTAATATAACTTTCGCGTAAGATAATGTCTCTAATTTTTAAAATTCATAACGGTTTTATTTATCTGTGTAAACACTGTCTTTTTATCAGAACAACTTGAAACAAACGAACAATTTTGTTTTATTTTAATTCCAAGAATTTCTTACAGTAATCGAATTATAAGTAGATAAATACCTTCCCAACAAATTTCACCGAAAATGCGATTATAGGTTTTCCATTTAGTAAGGAGGTCCAAGTTATGTATTCTTGACAGTTTACTAAATGTCGTTTAGTTGGAACTTGCAAGGTGCAGTCTGAATTCTAGTGTGATCATGGAAAATTTGGAAGGGCCGCGTAAACGACAAAAAATCGGTCCTTTAACAGTTAATGAAAAAACATTAATATTTAATTGTTTTAAATCATTTACAGACAAACATTTATGTAAAAGTGTTGATGACACAGTGGAATTAGTTAGTAGTACGCTTGGTGTTGGGAAATCTACGATTTACAGAGTTGTTAAAGAAGAGAAATGTGGCGTGTTTCAAACAGCACGTAAAGCTCCAGGAAAACCAAAATTTCAATTAGAAAATCTTTTGAAAGAAAGACTTCGAAGGAAAGTGCATGCGTTCTTCTTTAGAAAAGAATTTCCGACAGCAAACAAAGTTCTTGCTACGGTTCGAGATGATAAGGATTACCCTGAAATGAGTCGAAGCACACTATGGAAACTTTTAAAAGAAATAGGTTTTCTATGGAAAAAGCATTCCAGAAACTCTATTTTAATAGAAAGAAGCGATATTGTAGTATGAAAAATAAATTACCTAAGGACTATTAAAGAAATGAGAAACCAAAGAAGAAATATATTTTATTTAGATGAAACATGGATCAACGAGGGACATAAACCAAATAAATTTTGGCAAGATGAAACTGTTACAAGTCGAAGACAGGCTTTTTTAAATAATTTATCTACTGGTTTAAATCCACCATCAGGAAAGGGGCGCAGACTAATAATAGTACACATCGGTAGTTCAAACGGTTTTGTTAAAGGTGGTTTATTGACTTTTGAATCTACTCGTACCGGTGACTACCATGAGGACATGAATGCTGATGTCTTTAAATAGTGGTTCGAACAAATTATAGATCTTCTTCCTCAGAACTGTATAATAGTAATGGATAATGCAAGTTATCACTCAAGACAAAAATGCCCACAACCAAGTGGTTAAAAAAAGATTTACAGAATTGGCTAAATGTAAAAAATATTAAGTTCCATCCTGGTTCTGTGAGAAAAGAACTGTATCATTTGTGTTCCCTTCATAAAGAGAAAATCAAAAAATATGAAATTGATGAAATTGCAAAAAATCGTGGGATGACGGTGGTTAGATCACCACCATATCATTGCGAAGTAACCCCGATTGAACTAATATGGGCACAGATAAAGGGAGAAGTTTCAAGAAAATATAATTCTTTTAAAATGAGTGATGTTAAACAGTTGTTTTTGGAGGCTGTAAATAATGTGAAGCCTGAAAACTGGGAAAAGGCAGTAAATCATACGATTAAAGAAGAAGAGAAAATGTGGAAGTTGGACAATATTACTGATGAAATGATCGAGCCACTCATTGTAAATATTGGTTGCGACAGATCATCTTCTGATTTCGATTTGTAGGTAAGAAGTAGTTTTTATATTAAAATTATTATTTATGAACGTAACGTTGTTTAAAAGTCAAAGTTTAAACCCTTATACCTACATAACCCGTTTTACACAATGTTCTTAATATACCTTGTGGAAAAATAAAACATTTTAGAAAAAATTGCACTTTTTTACCTTCAGCTGTTTGGAAGTTATAAGCAGGTTAATTAGGTGAAAATACAAGTGTATACTCGAGGAATAACTTCAAAAAATATTTTAACTGTCTACTAAAAGAAGTGATACGCCTATGGATTACGAACGCTTTATTATTTTAATACTCTCTCATACATAAAAATATAATAATTGATAGGGTTACTGTTAATAAGTTTGATGTCAATAAACAAAAATAATATACCCATAATAGGCTACAATATTTTAATTAATATTATTATCGTGTTTTTATTATCATATTAGGACAACTTTGCACGCCTAAGTCCTACAATTCGACCATTGAGGCAGGTAGAGCGAGATTGGGTTTTGCTATTTGGTAATAGCGTCGGCTATACAGAAGCTGCCTTCGGTTTCTGGTATTTGACATTAGAATTAAACGGGAGGTTAAATCAAAGAGTTCGGTGACTAAATAGACGACGTTAATGGTAAAATTTAATTACATTTATTTAATCCCGGCAAAGCATTGAAATTTGAATTTAATTATATAATCCCGGGACTTAATGGTAGACAAATAGCAGTTGAGTGCATAATGTTTATTTTATGTAAAAGATTTAGTGCATTAAATTGTTTTAATTTATTAATTTCTAATAGATTCGTATATATGTATATACTATTAGCTATAAGGGTCGAATATTTAACAAATTAAAATTTTACAAAACGAATTAAGATGAAATAAATAGATCAAACAAAAATGAATTACATTTTTTTTTGTTAGTGAGCTGAGTATTATCATATTACTGGATGCTTGCAAATGCATTCTGTTACCTTTACCTTTTCTAATCTCTTTGATTATACCACTGATTGTAAATCGAATCAAATATCCGGTAACTAATTATAAATATACATATTTAAATACCGATTTGCTTATTCCCTCACCTGAACGAGTTTTTTAAAATGTTCCCCTCATTCTAAATAAATAAAAACGGATTTTTGCTGAGTGAAAATTTAACCGACACTGCTTTTCCACGTACACTCGCAAACCCGGTGGTAAACTCGGAGAGCGAAAAAAAGCGTAAGCAGATTAACGAAATGGGTTTGGTATTGACGAAGTGTGTTTAATCGCATTTATTAGAAATACACGGGACGCCTATTAGGCCTTGATGGTGGGAGCGTTCGAATTTTTTTTTTCTATAAGTAGAATATACGGCATCCACTTTATCAAACTGTCAATTATAGATCGAAAAAGTTACAACGGAAAGTAATTCGACGAAACGGAGAAGATTTTCGGGGACTGATGTGTGAGCCGAGTTTTATAATGGAGCTTACCTTAATAAATTCATGATGTGAAATCGCAGAGATGGCGTTGGAAAAATCTCGATGTTTCACCTTAAGTATGTCTAACATCCTTGGAAATTGAAAGAAAAAATAGTAGATCAATTATTAGTAGATCAATTATTAATAGATCAATTATTAGTAATGTAATCCTTTCCTGTTCTTATTGAAGGGTTATATATTTGTATAATTGTGGTCCGATAAGTTAATTTTTAATCTTTAAGTGTTCTTATCTGAAAATTTAACAAAGTAACATTTTCTTTTCAAACCACAAGTGCGGCAACTTTTCGCCAGGTGGGCACTGGGTCGTTGGTTGTGGAGTTTTAACTTTTAAAGTGGCTCCAGGTGGACCTAATTGAAAAAGCCTAAATAAGAAAATAATAATCATAAGAACGGTATCTTATAAAGATGTACTTTAAGATATAACACTTATTACCTCTAAAATAATAAAAGAACAAAAACACTCGAAATATATTTAGTAAAAAATGTTTATTTTACTTTATACTGGATGAGATCTTTTGTTATGTATATAGGGTGATTTCACAATAATTCAGACATCAGTATTTCATAGAATATTAAAACATAGCTGGTTGAGTTACTTAAAAATAAACTAAGTGTAATTTAGTTACCTAAATTTAACAAATTTCATACATCAGCTGTTACTCTACATAAATTGGATTCTAATTGGATTTAAAATAAATATAATCGTATTTTAGTATAACTAAAATAAGTGTAATACTTTAATACAGTATGTACCGTAGCACCTTGTGTTTATGGATTATTTTAGAGTCATAAGTACCTAAGTGTTATTACTAATCAGATAACTGTAAACAGTAATCAAACTTTGGAAAACTCAAAAAAAATGTATGGAAATCTTACTATATTTTCTATCAAAAAAATGTATACAACTATAAAATTTTTACCTGCAATTATAAGTGTAGGAATATTGTCAGGGTAACACAATTATACACCTTTTAAACTAATAACACCCTATATTTTATACTTCTAAGGAATAAGTAACAATGAATCAATCAATAATCATACATGAACTTATATACTTATATCATGCGTAATACATTCTTCTGATATTAAGATGAATCTATCCGTGATGCATAGCCATAGGCATGCCGCACGGTCATCCTGACATGTCGTTTGTCCTCAACAACTATACTGCAGAACTTCGACCTGTAATTACATAAAATAATTAAAATTTTGTGACCATTAGAGAAGACGCGTTCAGGTTGGCAATCAAGTGTTCCTCGTTGCCACCAATCAACTCATTATTGTCATCCAATGCCATTAATAGTTTATTTGGTGCCACTGAGGGTCTTTATTGTCAACATATTGCCATCAAAGGGCTCATCATTGCCATCAAAGGGCTCATTAATGCCATCAAAGGGCTCATCAGTGCCATCAAAGGGCTCATTAGTGCTATCAAAGGGCTCATTATTGCCATCAGATGGCTCAATAGTGCCATCAAAGGGCTCAATAGTGCCATCAAAGGGCTCAATAGTGCTATCAAAGGGCTCAATAGTGCCATCAAAGGGCTCAATAGTGCCATCAAAGGGCTCAATAGTGCTATCAAAGGGCTCATTATTGCCATCAAAGGGCTCATTATCTTACCTTAAGATTTCTGAAACGTAAATGATTTTATGTGTTCCAATCCACAACTCCTTCATATGGACGTTTGGATCTTCCAGTATGTAAGTCTTCCTTAACCCTATATCTATCATTTGGAAGAACCTCTATTATTTTAAATGGACCCCTAAACTTAGGCAGTAACTTTTTACTTTCTCCTGTTGCAGGGTTGCTAATGACTTTTGTAAGTACCAAATCTCCTACTTTATACATTTTCGGTGGGCTTCTTTTCTTATTAAATGTGATATCCTGTTTGATTATATTTTGTTCTAGTCGCTTTGCTGCCCTTTTCCTAATAGTTGTTACGTCTACATTATCTTCGCTCTCAGAGTCGTGGACGTCATTATTCATCTTTAGGGGAAATCCAAATAACAGTTCGGCCGGGGTGTAGTTTGTGACGCGGTGCTTTGTACTGTTAATGCGCGATTTCTTCCAATTTCGCCGACTTTCGTCACCTGAAGAACTTGAGCTGCTGCTGGATGTTGAATGTCGTCTTTTTCTCTTTTTTCGGTCTTTTGGCATTATGCACCAATAGAAGCACACAGTTCACCACTTCTGATGTAGGAATTATTGTCAGGGTAACACAATTATACACCTTTTAAACTAATAACACATATTTTATACTTCTAAGGAATAAGTAACAATAAATCAATCAATAATCATACATGAACTTATATACTTATATCATGCGTAATACATTCTTCTGATAATATGATGAATCTATCCGTGATGCATAGCCATAGGCGTACCGCATAAGGTATGGTTACCCTTATACGAACTTAAATGCTTGGGAAAATAGAAGTGAGTCGCTGATGAAACCCTTCTGGTAGAATCTCGATTCGCCCTGTTATTCATAAACGGTGAGGAGGTTGAAAAATAAAACGATTTATAGTGACAGCCACCAGCTAGGCTCTCATCTGTTGTGTACTCAATGTAATCCCATGGGGCAGAGAGAGTTCTTCCTGGCTCTGGCATCCAAAAGGTTGACTTTACAACATACTTTACCACTACAGCCTAGGGTACTGTTGTAAAATGCCTTCTACAATATCAATATTTGTCTTTGGACTCGTGCAAAGACGATTAACAATTCGTCTCCAAAAATGAGGTAAAAAAATAAATATGGCTTCTTAAGCCACGACTTGAAAATATCAGTGCCTTTCAACTAACACTAAGGCGTATCCTAATGTGGATACATTAAAATGGTCCCTAAATGGCCGTGATATCCTATAAAAAGAGTATACTCCATAAGAATGTCTTTTTTTATATATTTAAAATACCTTACCAAACATATGGCCATTAAAATTTATGATGTTCACACATTAGACGTGTTGAACCAAGAGGAACGATGAAACCTTTTCGTTAACCGAGTTAAAACAAAAATAAGAACGATCGTTGCTCGTATTCAAAAATTATAGTTATTTAAGCAGACTTTATAGGCAACACAGCATACACTAAAGTGCTATACCGGTTGACATACAGTAGGTACCCATTTCTATGAAATATACAGGGTGAAATGACAAAATCAAAAAACGAACTTAGGTCCAGTTTTTATGTTACAGGTCAATTATTAGTAGATCAATTATTAGTAGATCAATTATTACCAATTACATATATGTGTTTCGTACAATGAGTGCGAATATAAATAAAAATTAATTTTAAAAAGTTTAAATTTTTTTTAGAAAAATACAAAAATACAAAAGATCGAAGCAACAAAAGTTCTAACAATAAAAAATCGAAATTAACGATGGTCGAAGGTATATCGTCCCTGTTTTGTAACAAGGCGCCAATATTTTTTTTTTTTAATTAAAATAAATTTATTACTGTGGTGTATTTTAGTGCTCATCTATGTTCTGTGAAAAGAGGTCAATTATAAATCCAAACTGCAAGGCAAATATGACTAGGGGCTAACTGACATTTGTGTTATAATAATCATTTCTGTTTATTTTATTAATATTCGAAAAAGATCCATTTTTACATATCATCTAAGACATGTTTGTGAACCATCACAGTGGCCAACAGTTTATTGTTAAATTTTGTTTTATGTTCATGTTCATCAATTACTTTATACGTAGAGATATATAGTTTTAAATTACAAAGTTACTGAGTTATTATATCGAAGTAGCCCCATACGCGACCCTTAGTACCGAGCTTTAATCATCTTAAATGTAAGAACATCAGGGTTTATAAACATTGAAAAATAAGTTAAATTGTGGCCGTGGTTGACCTAATACCAGACCATCTTCTTAACCCACTTTTGCAGTGCTGGTCTCATTTAGCTGAAAGGATATATTTTTTAAATGTGTCAATTGTTTCTGGATTGTTGGATTTGATGGCCAGTTAATGCCTCTAAAATGGCTAATAAGACCGCTACCAAACTTCGTGTGCAGAAGATAGATTGTTTTACTATTGGTGTACGTTGATTCATCCTGCTAAACCAAAGCTATTCTTATTTGTCTAATTTCGGATAGAAACAATCAGTTTCCATGTCTGTGTATCCCACATAGCTTATCGCAATGCTGTAACAACAATTTGAACGAAATACAGACCACTTATGTCACCACTTCAAACAGTCAATCTTTCGTGATGCAGTTGCTTCTGCACGATTATGTGTAGATTTTCGGAAACCCTAATTTTACAGTCCCTTCTCCTTTAACACCAAAATCAAGTGACCGTTTGGTGTGGGTTTTGCAGTTGGAGTATCATTAACAAGACAACTGTTGTAACCATTTGACTAAAATTAGTTTCCATGAATAGGGCAACAATCATTTGAAAATAATTAACGGTGCTGTATCAATAATAATTTCAAAAAGATGACCTACCCATTACAAAAAGAAAGATTTGAATGTCCTTAGCAGGAAACCGCTTTGCCTAATATCCCACAAACATGGAGACAATATCAATATTTATTTATCCATTTTAGTTTTACAATTTTTTGTTAACAAAATGAGGGGTAATTAAAATGAACAAGATCATAATTATTTCACACTTTCGGTTCGACATAAACGTTTCGATCTATCCAGATATAAAATATCAATCACTTTAGATGCTTTCCATCAAACTACTCCATAAAAATCGAGTTTATCTCGAATTTCTGGCAAATATTTAAACAGCAAAGGCGAAGCAATCCAGTTCGCCGTCTCTTAAAATATGCACTGGGATAATTCATTTGAATCGCAATAAAAGTCTCCGATTTCGAAGCGATTCGCGAAAATCGTTCAAACACACTTCCCGCTATCGTAAACCTCGTTCACTGGCATAACGGGATATTTTTTTTTATCAAAGCAGAAATTACTTTTGATTGGTTTACGAGCCATATTCTTTTTCGGATCGTCCTAGATGAAGTTGGAAATAAATGCAGAAGACGAACATACAGTTAATATTGATACTCTACAAGTTTAAAAGATATTGAAAAATATAAAATATAGCTATTTGTGTATTAATATTGAGACAAAAAGTTGCTGTGTGACGCGTAGCGGAGCGTAGAAATTTGTAAAGTACACATATTTTAAACCTCGTGGTTTTATAGAGTATACTTTTTCCATAGAGAATATATTCCATATTAGCTTTAAGAAGTTATTAGTAATATTAACTTTAATCATCAATCTAATTATGGTACGTTTACATCTGACATTTATTGCATGAAATTTATATCTGACAGTTGTTTAGTCCAGTGTAAACACACAAAAATTTCTCTCGAAGAAATATGTTTGAGTGTTTTCACTCGACTAAACAACTGTCAGACATAAATCTCATGCAATAAATGTCAGATGTAAACATACCTTTAATGGTATAAATATACATCAAACTGCAGAAATGTTTATTAGAATTTAGTAGACTGATAAAATTTGACAGATGTTTAGACTGCTAATAATGTAAAGTTCATGCCAGGCAAACATATCACAATCTCAGGCTTCGTCAAAGTTTATTAGGTTTATAAATTTGAATGGATATTCTTACAACCTGCTGTTATTATTTCTGAGTGAATTATGTGGAGTTGCAGTCACTGTCTATCAGATCGATACGCCACTGAAATGATTCAATATCATGAAAATCCAATTGGACTGCTCGGAAACGATTTGGAATAGCAACGTTAGCGTTTGTACTAGTAAATTATTTACATTTCCCACAATACATATATCTGTACATGTCGCGTAATTGCTTTGGCAAAATTCTATACACTCTCTTAAAATTACGATCCACCTGTTGCCATTACTTTTTCAGTCGTTTGGATTTCGCATATCAGTTTTTCAAATGTGGTAATACTGGTTGCTTATAGGTTATAAAATAATATACATCTATGAACACATACATTTATAATATATTTTTACTAATTTAATTCAGATGAATGCTTTCTTCTTTTTAAATAGGTTTTTAATCAATATATAATAATCCTCTTTGTTTTTATAACTATTATCGAGTAAAAAGAATAATTAATAGTAGTAAATAATACAAGAAGAGAAGTAAGAAGAGAAAGAAAGAAAACATAACGATGAAAGCCCATTGACAACTACAAAACACACGCTGTTGACTCAGTTTAGACGTGGTTCGGGCACGGCTATGAAGACTAGAGATAAGGAGGCGAATCGGCCTTGGTCAAATTTCAAATTTCCGTCCCTATTTTTATGCAGTTCTAAAAAACTACTGTAGTTGGCGGGTGGCAAAATAACGACGTCTATTTTCTATGCAAGTCAATGGGAATTAAAGTGATTTTTGTAAAATTTAGTGAAAAGAATAAAAATAAGCTGAAATAAAGAACCTGACTACAAGTAACAATGAGTAACAAAAAACGACAAAGCAGGAGTTTCTTCGTGTTGGGTTGCAAAACGGGATAAAAATCCGATATAAAATTAAAGAAATCGCAAGGAGATAAAAATCCAAGTCTTTTTAAAGCTCCTAGTGTAAGTAAATTAATGTATTTATTTCTAAATAATATATATTTATTGTAAAATAGTTACAACCCGTATCTTACGGAGTGTAGTTTATTTAATTACAAAATTCTCTAATAAAAAATAATAAAGTCATAAATCCTGACTTACAAACAACAATAATTACACATTAAATTTAACTAACTAGAAAAGAAAATTTGCTTTTTTTATGTTTTTTGATGTTAGATGAAGAGTTACTACTCCTATTTTTCTTTACTGAACTCCAATTTAGTCATTGCAAATATTTTTTATAGGATCCTAAACGTTTAGAACAATGGCAGCATGTGATTCCTAGGCCTGATAAAGTACTGTCTAGTTATGGTTCTGTTTGCGAGCTACACTTTTAAGAAGATGATATTTTAAAATTTGATGAGACTATTTTAACTAATTTTAATGGTACTGCTAGCAAAATACAAAAGGGGCAGCTGAAATTAAAGGATGAGGTAATACCATATGTACGTTCCCAAATTTCCCTTTATACTTGTATTACAACAATAAAAAATCTGTTAACTGTGTTTTATTTTACTCTTAAAACTATATATTGGTTCAATTTAAAAAAAAAATTGCCACAAAATTGTACTTATCAAATTTCAGCAATTAAGAAACCTTTTCGAATTTGGTCATACATACCAAAATTGTATTTTATATAGATAAAATTACATAATTTATTAATTAAAACAGGCAAGAC